TTCGAGACGCGGGAGGATCCGACGGTGTCTGTGATTGAATGGACGGCGACTTCGTAACACGCAACGCTGAAGCCGATGCAGAGGGCTGGACAAACGGATTCTTTATCTGCTTCTCTACGAGGCTGGGGTTAGAGGGTACTAGTTGTTTCACAAGTTTGGGGGTATTAGACTTGGACGTTTTGTCCGTCATGGCAGGTGAAGCAGGTACTTTGGATGGGAGAGAAGGGTTTGATGGCAGGGAGGTCACTGCTGGTCGCGGTTCCATAGCGCGCGGGGCAGACGGAGGTGCTGGCCAAATTCCGTCACCTCGGTCATCTGAGTGGTTTGACGCTCTGGATTCCCTCCGCGAGGGAAGGACGATGGGAAACTCCTTTGGAAAGCTGTAGCTGTCCTTGCGGTAACCGTTCGGGGGAGAGGGGGTGCTGGTGGGCCGACGATAGGGACGCTGAGGTGAATCCTGTCTCCGTGAACTGCTCCGGCCGTCCCACCGATCAGGATCTCGATCCGGATTACTGCCGCGCCTGCCGCCCGCGCTGTAGCCGTCCCGTTCCCGTGATGTTGACCGGTCGTTTCGCTGTCGATGAGACGGCCGGGTGGAGCCCATCATTCGTTCGTCGTGTAACCGGGTTGGGTCTCGTCCGGACGCAGAAACTGATTGGTTTGCTCGCTCCATGAGTCTGTCATAGCCTGGATCCCATGAGTGAACAAAGCTGGCAATGGAACGCAATGCGGTAGGATTTCGTCAATTCATGCAAATGTGATAATCATGACGTGAAAAGGCTCACTAGCACAGTTTGCGTTTGCAGCCATCACGATACTTTGCAAAGAAATGACGTTAAATTTGAGGAGAAAAAGGTAAGTCATGGACAAATCGAGAGCTTCATGTAACCACGAAGTGAAAGAGCAAACAATTGCTAGAGACTCACATGGCAAAGTATATCTTTTTTGTTTGGACCCATGGGCGAATATTACTTCAAGGTGGAATGGTACAAAAACGGGGTGCAGTGTGGCAACAGTACGCAGGGGGTATATTGTAGTCGAACAACAACCGGCCAATAAAACAAATCCATTAAATCGTGGTTGCTGAGTCAGCAAACAGGGTCCACGTGAGGAACGCCAGGACTCCATGGTGAGTCCACGCTTTTGCAGCGTTATTGACAGACGATTGTACATGCACAGTGGCTGTGTTAGTGACCATATTTTCGACGCACGAGACCATGCACTCGTCCAGGCAAAAATAAGTCAAATAATATATAATGGGGTACTGCAACGGCCTCGGCTCAACCTCATCCACTACAAAGTGCTTGCCTCCAAGGCGGGATCAAATACAGGGATAGTCCCAGCCTCTGTGCCGATTTGTGGTTCTTCTTCGTTCTCTCCGGTACCATCTTCATCGTCTGCTTCACCAGGTTCCTCGTCTTCCTCGCCATCTTCCTCGCCGTCGCCTTGCCATGAAGCAGCCGCCGCGATGGCAGCAGCAATGGCAGCAGACGTACTGGCGACTTGGGCCTCTAGAGACTCTCCCTGTGGAGGGTTCATCACTGGTACGCCTGGCGGTCCAGGGGGCGGTAACGCAACTCCCGGCGGGATGTAGCCCGGAATCGCGTGCGCTGGGAGCATGTGAGGTGGGTATCCAAAATGCGGAACGAATCCAGGCGGAAGCGGCTGCCCAGGCATCATCGGGTGCATGAGCTGGGAAGGTGAAACCATGCCCGGAGGGGGATGCATAATCAACCCGAAGGGAGCACGGTTGACTATCGGACGTTGGGACGATTCAGTTGCATCGCCATCACCACCCTCTTCGCCTTCCCCTCCAGTCCAAGAAGGGTCGTGTGTTCGCATATGTCTGTGGAGTGTGGTACGGCGCGTGAAGGTCTTGTTGCACACTATGCCACCTTCACCGGCCCATTCACATCGGAATGGCCGAGCCCCGTCGTGGGTTTTGCGGTGTCGGGCTAAGCTAGACGAGTCTCCAAACGTCTTGTCGCAACCGTGGATACCACAGAAGTGAGGTTTCTCGCCAGAGTGGACGCGCTTGTGCACCGTCAGTGCAGATTGCTGAATTGGCAAAACATGTTGAGCGTGGTAGGTTGTGCGAGGATTGTGACGCACGTACCTGAATGAACGTCTTTCCACAGATGGTACAAGCAAACGGTCGTTCTCCAGTATGAATCCGTTTGTGCCGCATAAGGTCACTCTTTCGGCTAAACTCCTTTGTACAGCCATCCATCCCACACATATGCATGACTTGAGCGGAGTCTTCCCCGGCCTTCCGCTTCCGTCCAAGGGGTACTTTGGGTGCTGATGGGACGGATGCAAGTAACTGCTGTAGCAACGAGGCCTGACTGGCTGATTGGGCGGGCTGCGGCTGAGGATTTTGGACAGGTTGCGCCTGATTGGGTTCTGAAGGCACATTTGTCAGTTCCAAATGAGCAGAGAGGTGGTCAAGTATGGCGGTAATGTCAGAGGCAAAGGAGGGCGGCAGTGATGAGGTGCTGGGTGCGGAAAGGACGTCTAATATGCTCGGCGTTGGCAACACGGAAGGGGTGGGCGTCTGGGGTTGGGGTATTGGCGGTGGCACACGAAGGAAGGGGAGTGAAGTCATCGTATCGTTCTGGGCGTGGGGGTCGGGGCTGTCATTAGTGTTCGGCACAGGCAACATGGTAGAACCGGGTGGAGGAACAGGCATCCCAGGTATCGGCACAAAGACACCCCCTGGACGAGTGGATATAGACTGCGCTGCTTGCTGAGCTGCCTGTAACGCGGCCGCAAGGTTGCTGAGTCCTTCTGGAGGCAATTGCTGGGCGGCGGCAACGATCAGAGAAGCAGCGGTCACAGCTTCAGCAGCCGTGTCAGACGCCGTAGATTTCTTAAGCAGGTCACTGGGAATCGCGGCGACGGGCCGTGTCTCGGGGTTCATCGTGTTGGATATGAGGTGAGTAGCTCCAGACGGCAAAGCAGGTCCAGTGGTGACTCGTTCGGCAGAGGCAGCAACATTTTCTTCGTTAGCGTCGGCCTCCGCAGGCTCAGTTATTTGCTGGCCGTCGACGTCGTCCTCATCTTCGTCCCGTTGTCCATCGTCATCGCTGTCGTGGACCAAATCATTCATATGCAGTTGTTTGGGAGGTTGTTTCTCCACACGCTGCGTCGGGTGAATGGCCATCGTTATTCGTGAATGGTAAACCTGGCTGTATTCGTGCTAGGCGCCCTCCAGTGAGGATGGTGGCTGAGCGCGCGTCCTTAGCGGAGCTGGGGTGTGGTCTGTGCGAGGTGGTCCAAGCGTCAGTTGACATACTAATCATGCTCAGTCCAGATTCGTACCCAATTGGCGATTTCAGCACTCTATGAGCGCAGAAGGTCGGGGTGTCTGCACGCCTCGTATAATTGCTTTTCCTTCAGGCGATGCTGTTGGTGGGGAGGAACAACCCGCTCAATAGTGATTTGACTTGATTACTTTCCGGCTAATGTTCGAATTCGACGCCCACGGTGTGGACGAGTACACGTCCACAAACCCCAGTATTTGATGCAAGCTAATGTAAATATCTTTTAGATGGTTATTTTAACGTGATTTAGAAATAAACGATGAGGATGGTCCACCGTTGCGAAATTGTATTGTTGTCTTGAAGTACGACGGCAGTGCCTGAGCTGAAAGAACACAGATCAGATGTACAGGTGATTCGAAGGAGTGAGTACTGGATGAAGTAGACACCAAAAGGAAACTACAGTGATAGATTGTGGAACGGATAGCAAAAAGTTCCTCCTGCCAGGATCGAACTGGCGGCAGCTGCATTTCAGCTGTGACGATAGCCCATAAGTACAGAACTCTACCACTGAGTTAAGGAGGATGCCAATCGCCGTGATCGTTCCCGATATACTCGGCTGCACCTAATCATGAGCTTCCTTCACGATTGCAGAGGAATCTCCCCCATGATACAATGTATCCGTCATGAAGATGGTATATAGGCACCTGAAGGGCAACCACAGTGCTCAGGACAATGTTATGGTTTGTATGACCAGGGTCCCTGAGATAATCGGACGTCGAAGGTGAGATAAAAGACTTGTGCACGACGGGAGCTCGTGGTTTCAGCGACTCTGAACGTTGGCCTTGGCATGGTAGAAGGATGGTATAGAGGATGGTATCGTAGCAACATATATCGATCTATGGACGCGACACGGGTTTGGATTGCAATGAGGATCTTGAAGACGGCTCCGGATTGGTGGATTGGAGAGGACTGGAGATTCGATCTCCGGACGAAGCACCCCACCTCTGTATCGGAGCAGGGATGTCTAGGCTAGAAGTGCAAAGAAGCACAGGAAAGCATCAAAACGAGGCAAAAGTGGGTGAACGCGATGGTCCTGCAGGTGCTCTGGTCCCTAAGACAGACGACCAACACGGCGCTGTTTGGCGACGAAAAGAAACTGAATTTGGACGCTTGAGCATAATGAGATTAGCCAAAGGTTGAACCAGGTGGGTTGTGCGTGGCCAGGTCCCGCCGGGAGTTTGCCATGAGGCGAAAATGGGCGTGGGAGCACGTGGAATTGCGTTGTTGTGTTGTTGCCAGCCGAAGGAGCAAACAAGGGACAACAGTTGGATGTTCGAACATTGTTGTTCAAAACCTCGAGGCTTCTTCCACCTTGTCTCCTCCTGCGTTGTCCCTCCATTGAAAAGAGAGAGGCCCAAGTGAGTCTCAACACCTCGTCCTTGAACTTTCCCCCCCCCCCGCCCACCCCACATCCTCCACGAGCTCACCCAACCCATCCCTTGTATAGTTGCCCACAATTTCGTCCCATCTCAAGACTTCCTTTTCGCCGCGCAGGCCGTCTCATCCTCCTCCAGACGATCAGTCGTCCACTTCCAGCTCTCCTTCAACAGTAAGATCTCCTGCCGCTCGTATGGTCAGTTTGCGCGTTGCACCTATCCAGTCCAGATTTGAACTAACAAATTTCAATTAGGCCCATCCATCAAGCTCGCATCGTGATCGTGATGATGACCGTGGTACGATCCGCGAACGAACTCACAGGAGTTCTTCGTCATCTTCACGTCATCGTACCATATCCTCTACGACCCTGCTTCTGGTTCTGTCTCTCATCCTCGCAGTCTTGGCTGTGATGTTGTCTTTACCCTCCCGATCAGGAGGTGTCTTGACTGGTTCACGTCAACAACAGCAAGCAGTACCGGAGACTGGTGCTCCTGATGCCGATGGTGCTTCGCACTCCTTCTGGGGCTACCTTACCCCCAAGCGCAGCCATGCGCTCGTCAGTCGCGAATCTGCAGTTGCTATGCGTGAAGCCGAAGTTGCCAGACGCGAAGCTGAACTTCTTGCTGCCCGACCTGGTGGATGGCCTCTGGCTTGCCCGCCCTGCGCAGAGCACACTGTCGTCGAGGAGTTTGAACCGACCCCTCCTTCGATTTCCCTCGTCTCTCGTGCTTCTCCTCCCGCGCCTCCCCCGGCCGTCACTACCGTCATCCAGGAGGTCATTAAAGAGGTCATCAAGGAGGTTGAGCCGTCAAATCCTGCCTGGCTGCAGACTCGTATCGAAGGTCTTGTCGAACGCGAGATGAAGCTCTCCGACAGGGAAAAAGATGTTGGTCGCCGTGAGGAGGCCATTGGAAGGCGTGAGGCAGATTCGACCAAGAGGGAGGCTTGGATCATGGAGCAACTCCAGTACGTGACCTCTGCTTTTTTTTTTTTTCGGGCGCTTGACGCTGATGCCTTTTTAAGGAATCTTAACCCGCCCGAACCTCCTGTCGTTGAAGACGACTATGGCTTTGATGAACATCCCCGCCACTACTATGGAGATTCACGGAGACCTCCTAAGGTCGGTAGCCCGCCTCCTCGCCATTTCTAAGACGAGGGAGGGGACAGAGACACCGGACACATCACATCGGCACTGGATTCACGAAGCTTCGGATCGACACTTATGACCACCATGATACACCCCTTACGACCCCCTACTCAAATCTTATTCTGCTGTTTATCGACCAAACCGACCGATACGTCTGCCAACATGTTCGTGTCGTCTCCCCTCCCTCCCCAAACCCTCCCGGCCTTCATCAATCTTCGTACGTCCTGCTAACATCGTTCATCTTTTACTTTTAGGAGCTTCCCTCGGCTGAGACCATCATTGTCACCGAGACTGAGATTCGCACCAAGTTCCAACCTGCTCCTGCTCCTACACGCGTCGCTGCCCGTCCTACCCCCGAGACCTTTATCACCAGTCCGACGGGCGCTGCATCCGCTGTGACGCAGGAGATCTTCATCGAGATTCCCACCGGAGAGATCACTGTCGAGCTACCGCAGGAGACGGTCACAGTTGTTGAGACAGTCACAGCTGGACCTCCCCCTCTTCGAGGCGGTCCCCCCAGAAAGAAGTGGTTTGGGCCGAAACATTAAACCGTTGCATGATTCCCTTACGATCTGACGACGTTTACGCCTATGTATCCCACCCTTAATCACTTCCGCCTTCGACATCTTCTGCCTCCCCCCGACTACCCTCCCTCGATGCCGCCTCCATGATCTCATGTCTCACCAATGGTGTACAACACTGCCGACTGCTCTTTGAAGGAAATGGACGATCTGTTGGTTGGTTTTACAACTGAATCTAGGAGGGATTGGATATCCTTTCATTTCTCGTCAATCTTGTTTCTTTTCTTTTTGGTTTATTTCCCCCTCCCTCTGCTACTTCATCACCTCCATACCACCTCATTCTTCGCTTCTGCATTGCCTTATTGTTGTTTCTTGTAGGAAGGGCTTCAAGGAGAAGATCTTCAGTCTCAATTTCAGTAGCTAGATAGTAGCTAGTAACCTCGCAAGACGAATACATACAAAAGATAGCTTGGTCGATCGTGCATCATTGGCTCGGGGTTCTACGTGCCCACGGTGATTTCTTAGTCAGCTGACCGGGAATTTCAATTCTGACGCGTCCATACCGGCCGAAAACTAGAAGACTTGCTCAACAATGCAAGTTGTAGGATGGCCAGAAGTGGGACAGGTCAGTCGATAACTTAGCTCCTTGTTGAGGTACTCAAAGGATGGGTATGCAGATTCTGGGTAGTCTGGCTCTAATCACCAATGGCCAACCAGTTTCCAGCCTAATTGGCCGGTTAAGGCCCCAATGGTCGTCAGCGACGATCTCAACAATTATTTCCCCAAATCAGGTTAGGTTCCCATGCTAATTGGTCGTTCATACTGCTCTAAACATCTCCTTTTGTAGCCCATAATCCCCAATGCTGCAGCAGAGGTATTCCGAGTGTCCGCACCTCTCAGCTTCCACTCGTTACGTCCAACCAATACGTTCATCCCAAGAAGTCATCCTACAGCCCAGGGTATTATATACCCTCTATTACCACGACCGCGTCCTTCCTGTCGAACATCGCCCCTCGCGCGGCTGTTCCATTCCTCGTCGGCAGTTCCAGTTTCGCGACCCTCCACCTCGTCAACATGGAACTCACCCCCTCCAAATTCGCATTTGCAAAGGAAGCTGTCGCTGTCGTCGTTGTTCTCCAAGAGCCAACCACCGCCACCGTCTTCGGTCTTGGCACGGATCCACATGTTGGAGGTTGAGTGGGCGAGAAACCCGAATGACGTGACCAAGCAGCTGGCACTATGGCATGCTTTGGTGGACTCTGGGCATCCGTCTGGGTACGACAAGGTTATCAGCCAGTGGGAGCGGATGTGCGAATTCGTACGTGTCCTCTGTATGGTGGATTTCACGTGCACTAATATGGATACTCTTGTAGGATCCCTCGTCTCCACTATTGCATAACGATACGGCGTTTGAAATGTATGTCAAGTCGCTCGCCCAGACCAA